AGCGGTCTTATTTTCTAGACTCTGATTGGTCCCTTTCTCCCACAGGCATTGTTTCCAAGTCCTACGAGTGCCGTCTGAAGGGACAAGGTGCCACCTTCGTGGAGACCGACAGCCCCTTCACTGCCGCTGCCCTGGCGGAAGAGGCCCCAGCTCAGGAGAAGGCCCCACGGAGTGGCCCACGACAAGCCCGGTCCCCCGGGCAGACGCAGCAGGTCTTCATCATCCAGGGCTACGGAGGGGACTTCGCTCTGGATGCCTCGCTGGAGGAGACAGCGGCTGCCACGCTGCAGACACTGGCCATGGCGGGCCAGCTGGCCGGGGTGGTGCACATCACCGAGGATGGGCAGGTCATCGCCACAGGGCAGGGCGCGGGGCACGTGGGCAGCGTGGTGCCCGGGTCCCTCCTCCCCGAGCAGCTGGCTGATGGAGCCACCCAGGTGGTCGTGGTGGGAGGCTCAGGGGAAGGTCCCAGCCCAGAAGAGCCCCTCGGTCCCGGGGGGACTGTGATTCAGCAAGTGAAGCAGGAACTCTTGGGTCTTTCTGAGGCTGGAGGTTCGGCCCCTGACACCACCTCCGCCCTAGACGCCTTGCTGTGTGCGGTCACCGAGCTGGGGGAGGCGGAGGGCAGGCCCGGGCGTGAGGAGCGGGGCAGGCCAGGCCGCAAGGACGTGCTGATCCAGCTGCCGCGGCCAGAGGCGGCCCCCGCTGTCAGCAGCCCCGAGGCGGCGGAGATGCAGGTGTTCCCGGATGCTGCAGAGAGCCCTGCTGCTGTGGGGGTGCTCAGCCAGGTGGTACACCCCTCAGCCATCGTGGCGTCTCAGGAGCAGGCGCAGGTGGCCTTCAAGAAAATGGTGCAGGGAGTCCTGCAGCTGGCGGTGTGCGACTCGGCGGCGGGCCAGCTGCTCAAGGACGGCGTCACCCAGGTCATCGTGAACGAGGAGGGCGCCGTGCACATGGTGGCCGGGGAGGGCTCGCAGGTCATCATGCAGGAGGCTGAGGCACATGGCCTGCGGGTGCAGGGCGACGTGGACCTGGTGGAGGCTGACGGCGAGATCTCCCAGATCATTGTGACTGAGGAGCTGGTCCAGGCCATGGTGCGGGGCTCCGCTGGCGGCTTCCCTGAGGGCGCGACTCACTACATCGTGACGGAGCTGCCGCCGGGGGTGCAGGGCGACACAGGCCTGTACTCCCACACTGTCATCGAGGCGGCCAGCTCCCAGGAGCTCCTGCAGGGGCCTGCCCTCAGCGCCGAGGTCACGGCCCCAGATGGGGCGGAGCCTCTGACCAGCATGGTCATTTACACCCAGGACGGCTCCCCAGCAGCGGTGATTCAGAGCCAAAGAGAAAGCCATGAACTCCGAGAAGCATGAGGCTTGGCCTCCACGCCTGGCCAGGGTGGCCAGGGAGACCCAGCGCACAGGCCCGGCGTTCCCAGCACTTCCTTCGCAAGCCCACGGCGCCGGCCCCGGACACGGTGAGTCCAGGCACCTGGGCGAGGTGAGGCTCTGGGCCTGGCAGGGCCGGTGGTGGAGCTGGAGGCCGTCGTCCCCTGCTCGGTTCTCTTCATCTGCTGTGCCAGGAAGCCCAGCTTTGTTTCTTTCTTCTGCAGTGTTTTCCCATTTCAGCCATCAGGACCGGGTCGTCCTGGTGAAGATGTAAGAACACACACTCGGGTCGGGCTGGGGAAGGGCCAGCTCTTGCAGTGCAAGGTGTAGCTGTTTCCACACTTCGCGTATTTGCTGAGGTTGCAGCTGCGTTACTGCTGCCTTGCCACAGCCCACTCCCACTGATTCGTTGTTGCTGGTTTTTAACTGTAAGGAAACCGCCCCCATGCCAAAGGAAGCCTGTCCGTTCCTTTCGTGTGAACATGGCCCTCCTCACCCCCGTCAGGTGTGCTCAGCACCAGGCTGCGGTCTCATACAGGGAATCTTCCCAAGCCCGCAGTTAAGAAAAGCCTTGAAGTTTCCATTCAGTTCAAACATACCTTGGTTAAGACAACTCGATGCTTCGCTTTTTGACTTTGTTTCATACAGTGAAGTCCATGTATGAAGTGTGCACCTGGAAGATACTGCTCGTATCGATATTTTGCTTTTATAACAGATGTTTGTTCAGATTGATAGCATTTTGCAGGATTTACCTGTGATTTATGTCAATGTGAAGAAGCTGACATTAAATATTAACAAACAGAAGCCGCGCCCCTACAGCCTCGCCTTGGCCAGCATCTCTGTTCCTCTGTTCCCTGTGGACTCACTGCAACTGTCGAATGCAAGTTTATGTCCCAATTATTTGTTTCTCGATACAATTGCTCCTCTTTCCAAAATTGTAACATAATCCCCTCCCTCAGTCGCAAAGGTTGTTTTTGTTCAGTTTGTTTTCCTGGAAATAAAATTACAGCATTAAAAGATAATGACAATTTCTTATTTGAAGCAGCCACGACAGCTAGAGAGCCGCTGGTCCGCTTCCCTCTCCGTCGGCCACTTTCCGATGACGCCAGCGTCTAGTTTGCATCTCGGCAGCCCGATCCTGTCTTCCAAGTGTTTGGCCAGCAGCCCAGGAGCATTGTGGTGACAGTAATGTGTCCTACCATGGTTAGTCTCTCAACATTGTGAAGACAGACATGAGAGGGAAGGAAGATGGCACCTTCTTTGTTTAAAACACGGCACCATTAAAGCCTCTTTGTGGGGGAACAGCATGGAAATGAGTCTTCTCCCCAGCATCCTCTGGCTGCCCGGAGCTCTTGTCCATTCCAGAACCACCTCCCTTCATGCAGCCACCCCTCCAGAACATAAAGGATAAAAGGCAAAATTCAGGTCGGACACGGGGGTTCATAATTAGCCGAGTATGACTTGCTCGTGTTTCTTAAAAATGGCAGGGCTCTTAGTTCTTCAACACTGTCTTCAGCAAACAGTGACAGGATCAACTCCCGTTTGTTATCAGGATAAAGGTGACCTTTACAAAGTGATGGCCTTCTCCAAGCTTCTCATACATGTTAAAAAAGGGGGTGGGTGTTTTTCAGTGGAAATTCTTCTCTCTCAGCCCTCCCGCAGGCGCCTGCCTGGCCCGCGCGGATGCTAATTCCCGCCCGCGCGGTCCTGTACAGCTAACCTTTCTGCGGCAGTCCGGGGTGTTGACACTGACGTGCTGCAGTTTACCGTTTGTGATTTATTTAGGATAAATATGTCTCAGGTGGCATTTAATCCTTCATAAAACCAGTGTAGCCTGCAGTGTCAAACCAGCAATCACGTTGTGTGCACAATGAAAAGAGCAGGCCTTTGCATAAAAAACCGTACTGAAGGTGTTTCTCGGCTCCGGAGGACTGCAGAGGCTTCTCTGAGCTATTGTACCCTGTAATTACCGGAGAGCTAGGTTACTGTTCCCTCTCCGTTCTCTCTCATTACACCAGTGTTGGAACGTACTGGAGTTTAAGCAGCGATCCACAAACGCGTGCCTCCGAATAACGAGGCATGGCAGGTGTGCGGGCAGGGACGTTCTGGCAGCCCAGGGTCGGTAGGGAAGACGGGGCCAGCCTGTAGCTTTCCCCGAGGGCTTGCTGGAAATACATAGAGCTTTCAGAAGTTAGAAAGAGAGCGAATGAAATACCTACTTGCTGGATAATCCAGAAAGGCCACATTTTAATTAAGCTACGGCCAATTAGAAGATTGAACCCCAGGGACATAGGCATGCAAAGAAAACCAGATCACACCAGTCAGCTTGTAGAAACCGTCTAGGGCTGGCCCTGTGGCTTAGTGGTTACGGGAGCTGGATCCCACATGGCCCACCGCATAGTTCAAATCCCAGCCCATGAAACTTGAAAATCATGGCAGGCACATGGGTTGTGTGCCCCAAATCCTGACGGAATGAAGAAATGAAGAAAGGATTGAAACGTAACCACACCTGAAGGGGTGCTTTCCCCCACCCCAGTCTGCCTCTGGTGAGTACATGTACCCTCTAGCATTAAAATATGTATTTTTTTAAAAAATAGAAATGGTCTACATTTCAAAACCTTGCCAAAAATTGGGCAATGTGAGCCTTGTAAGATGTAGAGTTAAAAAGTAGGATAGTTTCACACAGAGCAGGTTGTAGTCATGTACATTTACATTCAGGAAATTCTGTGACTCAAGGCATCCATCTGGGAGGCCTCAGGCCTCACTGAACAGTTGGAGGGAGGATGATAGGCGGCATTACCCACCACACAGACCCACAGCCCTGACAGTGAGCAAACATGGACCTGCACCACCTGACAGAGAGCATCACACAGACCCACACCACCTGACAGCACACAGACCCACACCGCCTGACAGAGAGCACACACAGACCCGCACCACCTGACAGAGCACACAGGCCCACACCACCTGACAGACAGAGCACACAGGCCCACACCGCCTGACAGAGAGCACACACAGGCCTGCACAGCCTGACAGAGAGAGCACACAGACCCGCACTGCCTGACAGAGAGAGCACACAGACCCGCACCACCTGACAGAGAGCACACACAGACCTGCTTCACCTGGTACGTAGTCTTCTTACTTCTACTCCCAGCCCATGAAACTTGAAAATCATGGCAGGCACATGGGTTGTGTGCCCCAAATCCTGACGGAATGAAGAAATGAAGAAAGGATTGAAACGTAACCACACCTGAAGGGGTGCTTTCCCCCACCCCAGTCTGCCTCTGGTGAGTACATGTACCCTCTAGCATTAAAATATGTATTTTTTTAAAAAATAGAAATGGTCTACATTTCAAAACCTTGCCAAAAATTGGGCAATGTGAGCCTTGTAAGATGTAGAGTTAAAAAGTAGGATAGTTTCACACAGAGCAGGTTGTAGTCATGTACATTTACATTCAGGAAATTCTGTGACTCAAGGCATCCATCTGGGAGGCCTCAGGCCTCACTGAACAGTTGGAGGGAGGATGATAGGCGGCATTACCCACCACACAGACCCACAGCCCTGACAGTGAGCAAACATGGACCTGCACCACCTGACAGAGAGCATCACACAGACCCACACCACCTGACAGCACACAGACCCACACCGCCTGACAGAGAGCACACACAGACCCGCACCACCTGACAGAGCACACAGGCCCACACCACCTGACAGACAGAGCACACAGGCCCACACCGCCTGACAGAGAGCACACACAGGCCTGCACAGCCTGACAGAGAGAGCACACAGACCCGCACTGCCTGACAGAGAGAGCACACAGACCCGCACCGCCTGACAGAGTGCACACACAGACCCGCACCGCCTGACAGAGAGAGCACACACAGGCCCGCACCACCTGACAGAGCACATACAGGCCCGCACCGCCTGACAGAGAGAGCACACAGACCCGCACCACCTGACAGAGAGCACCACACAGACCCGCACCGCCTGACAGAGTGCACACACAGACCCGCACCGCCTGACAGAGAGCACACAGACTCGCACCGCCTGACAGTGCACACATGGACCCGCACCACCTGACGGTGCACACACAGACCCGCACCACCTGACACAGCACCACACAGACCCGCACCGCCTGACAGTGCACACACAGACCTGCACCACCTGACAGTGCACACACGGACCCGCACCGCCTGACAGGCCACACACAGACCCACACTGTCTGACAGACAGAGCACACAGACCCGCACCGCCTGATATAGAGCACACACAGACCTGCTTCACCTGGTACGTAGTCTTCTTACTTCTACTTGACCCGCTTTGGAGAACCGAGTGAACACAGTAAGCCTGTGTGGGGTAGTCCTAAAGTTCGACTGCCAGTTACCAGCTGAGTCCAGAAATACGGACATGAAAGAGCAGCCAGGTGGGTTACAGCGGCAAGCAGATCTTATTAGGACACTGCAGTAGTGGGAAGGAGAAGCCAGCGTAGAACTGGCCCAGTCCTGAACAGAAGCAGAACAGGAGCGGATGCAGCACCTGGTGGGTTAGCGGTCAGGGGATGACGACTTACTAAAAGCATGAGGCGAGGGGGAGTCTGGCAGAAACATTCTCTCTGGGTGCTACTGAGGACAGCCGGGTGGTCAGACATCATCTGGGGACAGCCGGATGGTCAGATGTCATCTGGGGACAGCCGGATGGTCAGATGTCATCTGGGGACAGCCGGATGGTCAGATGTCATCTGGGGACAGCCGGATGGTCAGACATCACCTGAGGACAGCCAGGCCATCAGACAACATTTGGGGACAGCCGGGTGGTCAGACGTCACCTGGGAGGTGGTTGGGAAACCCAGTCAGATATCTGGGCTGGGGGATTCTGGAGAAAGTGATTTAGCAGCGTTCTAAAGCAAACAAAAACTAGATTTTGTGAGGAAGTGCACAGAAGGGGCCTAGGAGAGGGTTCAGGCTAGAGTCTGGTCAAGCAAAGAAACTATCCAAGTCCCAAAAGTGTCCCTGTCTGGCGATAAGGAGGCCCAGTCACCTCATGGGACACAGCAAAGACCCCACAGAGGCCCAGGCAGCTCCGCCCCAGCTCACCCTCCTTAGGGAGTCAGGCCTCCCAGGAGCCACATCCTAATACCCTCCAGCACTGGAGGGCGTCTCCGGATGCTAGCACACTGCGCTGTCCTGAACTGCACGGTACAATAGCACCATGTGGACAGAGTTGGGGTTACCAGCTTAGAACTCTAATCCAGAGCTGACCCTGGGATGAAAATTAGGTCACTTAGCAAATGACAAGACTCGAAGTTTTCCCTTTTTTCACTGTTTAATATTGGCCCATAATTTAAGAGCACACACAGCTCACTGAGCAACCTCTCCCTGCTCCATCTTGTTGGAGAATACAATTCGTTTTCGACTCCTCTAGGGTGATATCATTTTACAAGAAGAAAAAAGTTGGCTCTATGGCAGTTATACGTTTCGGAAGCACCTTCTAATCAGGGATTGGTGATTCATTATTAGCTTCAGCAGGCGATCCATCTGACATGTAAGGGGAAAAAATTAGCAGCTGTCACTGCGTGATGAGTTAATTTCCTGATGGGCCTGACACTGAAAAGCCATTTGGAGATATGGCGATGGCTGACGAGAAAACCTGGCGCTGCTTCATAATTGGAGATAAAGAAAGGGCAGAGACAGGCTAGGCTGGGAGGCCCAGGGCCTGCAGGGCTGTTCGTGTCGGTCCCAGGGCTCCGTGCCACCTGCATGAGCAGGCCCTGGCTCTGGCTGTGGCCATGGCGGGAGCCATGCCCCTGCGCTGCTGCATCCTCTGCCCTTGCAGTGTCTCACAAGACCAGAAACTAAGTGACTCAGGTGCCTGGCATCTTCTGAAAAGGCAGAGGGTCCCTGGAGCGATTCTTACAATTGGGCTCCAGATTAATTGATCTCTTAGTCATGAGATCAGTTTTTCTCACCACAAAAAAAGTAACCCTGTTGGGGTTAGCCGTGACTGAAGTTCAAGTTCC